AAAATGAACCGTGGGAGAGCAGGACCAAATAAGGGTCACTGTCCCTGTGAAAGGCAAAAGGAATTGGTTGGGACTTGGATTGTCCCCTTGGGAGATGGAGGTTGCTGGGATGGAGAGAATGCCCTCCCTCAGGCTGCCAAGATCTCTCAGTGCTTTGGCCGACAGGGCAGCACAAAGATTGTTCTCTGCGGGGGGCCCAGGTTTGGATTCCGGTCTCAGCTTTGCAGGTTTAGAGGAATTCTACCTCCAGCCCGCAATTCCATGGGGAATTCCTGCTGGAATAGCCTCCCAGTGCCTCCTGGAGCCCGGCTATTCCCCTGCAGAGCTGCCTCTCTAAGGCCAAGTTTGCCAGGAAGCAGCCACGGTTCCAGGTTTGCTCAGCGGGATCGGGACAAGGACAGGTTGATGTTCCACAGACTTTGCTGTTTCTAACCCTCCTGCCCTGGCCCCGCTGGTGTCCCTGGGGGGACTTGAGCGAGTTCCCTGGAATTCGGCCGATTCTCCGCCCCGGGCCGGGCTCCAGGGGATGTGTTCGCCCAGGAAAAGGCGGGGGCCGGACGCGCTCCCGGCCCGGGGCGAGGCAGCCCCTGAGCACGGGCGAGGACGTCTCTCCGGCCGGGAAGCCGCTGTCCCTTCGGAGCCTCGGGAGCGGCCCCGGTAAGTTCCTCTCCCCGAGGAAAGGGATGCACATCCCTGCCTTCGGGGCACCTCGGCTCTGACCCACCTGTTCAATCTGCCCACGGGTTCTGCAGTTGCGGTTGGGTCCCCGAAAAACTGCGAATTGCATCCAACCCCAACTTCCTCCAAGCATCCCCTTTTCTTTTCAGGCATCTCCGAGGGCTCTGGCTCGGGATTTAATGCCGCCGAGGGCAGATGGCCCTGGCTTTAAGGCTGCTGCTGGCTGCTGGCCTCCGGCTGGAAGGGCAGGGATTTGGGGTGGGCGGGACACACGCGGGGGGCGCGGGGGAGCTCTGGGAGGTCGGCGCTGGGAATGGCTCCCGTGCTGCTCTGCAGCCCCGCCGTGCCGACACTGCCGAGTGCCAGCTGGATTCTTTGGGTCCTTCGGGGCTGGTGCTGGGGCGTGTCCAGGGTGAGGCATCTCCGGGTGCCCGTCCAGAGCAGCCCCGGCTGAGGAGCCGCGGGCAGCCCTTTCTCCGTGCCCACCGCAGTGCCCGTGGCCCGTTCCCAGCCCTGGGATGTGCGTTTGGCAGACGAGCCCTGCTCGGGAGGCAAATCCATCTTGTTGCCGATGGAAGCGCTGGCCCGGAGCTGCTCCATCCCTGCTGCCACGAGCTGTGCTGGGAGTCCTGCGGCTGCGGGCGGGATCGCCTGAGCTCCGGACTCTCCGGACCCGAAAAGCGGCCCCGACCTGAGCCCCCCCCGGCATTTTGGGTTCCGAACGCTCACCTGGAGGAGCCGCCCCCCCGCAGGCGGGACCAGGCGGCGACACTCGACCACCGCCTTTGCCTCGGAGCGAGGGATCCCTCCGGACTCGGTTGGCTCCTTTATCCCTGCAAATGAGCTCGGATGTCGCACGAGCACCTTTGCAGCCATTGGGGCCTTTGCACCTTTGCAGCCGACGGGGCCGGAAAACCTCCCTGAGCAGGGCAGTGATGAATTGGTGCCCGTCCCCAGCCGGGCACAGCCCAGCCGGCCGCGCTCCCTCCGGCCCGTGGCTGCGAAGGGCTCCTGCAGAGCACGGAGAGCTGCAGAGATTGAATAAAAGCGCATTTCCTGACTCGATTTCCCTGCGGTCCTTCCCTCCTTTGACTCGCGCGGCAGCGTCCGGTTGGAGCATTTCTTGGTTTCCTCTCCTGTTGCCGTTTCCCTCCCAGGCAGGACCTTCCCCGTCTGCAATTAAAGATGAAACGTTCCAATGGGATTTTTAAAAACCGGAGGGTTTGCCCCGGGAGGGTGCGAGTTGCCGAGAAAGCGGGGGAGAGGAAGGAGAGCCTCAGGTCTCACCTGGCAGGTGTCAGATGAGCTGCCCCTTAGGGAGGGCAGGGCAAAGAACTGCTGTCGGCAATTCCCGCAGTTCCGCAGGCAGAGCTGGGAGCAGCCTGTGCCCGACCCGCGGCGCGGTCAGTGCCAGTTCCTGGGGCTGCCTGAGGACAGACACAGGGACATGGGGACAGATAGGCAGCTCTGTTCGGGGTCCTGGAGCACGGGAGGAACGAGGAAAGGGCTGCCCTCATTCTTCCTTGCTCCGGCACGACCCCAGCTCCCCGCGGCCGGAGCGATCCCGTGGGCGGAGCCCCGGCGGGCCCCAGACCCCTCGTTCCCGGGGGACACTGCGGGAGGGAACCCCCCGGGGCCGCGGGGAAGGGGCAGGGGGACGATGTTCTCCCCGGGAGGGGCTGCGGTGGCCTCAGGGGTGCCCGAGCGCGGGAGCTCCGACCCCGCGGGGGGCGCGGGCAGCGCTGCGGGCCCGGCGGGATCGGGGGGTCCCGGGGCCGGCTCGGCGTGTCCCCGCATCCCGGCCAGTCCCAGCCCCGGTTCCGCGTCTGCACGAGGAAAGCGCCGCCGTTCTGCCCTGGCCGGGCCCCGGCAGAGCCCCGGCCCGAGCGGCCCCGCCGGGCTCGGCCCCAGCGCCCGCCCCGGAGCGGCTCCTCCCGCCCGCGGTGCCGGGGCACAGGACCGATCCCGATCCTGTCCTGATGCCGAGCCCCAGCCCAGCCCCAAGCCAACCTCGATCCTCCGGTGCCGATCCTGAGGCCGAGCTCCATCACCAGCCTCGCTCTCCGGTGCCGTCCCCGCTCAGCGGCCCGGGCTCGGCGCAGCGCCGGGAGCAGCCCCCGGGCCGGGGCTCCGGCCCCGAGCGCCGATCGCTCCCACAGCATCCCGGGACGAGTTTCCTCCCCAGCGGCGGGGCGGGCGCGGCTCTGCCGTTTTTGAGGGGTGCGGGCGGGGGGGGGCCGGGGCAGGGCCCGCACAGGTGCGAGGGGAGGGGCCCGTCCAGGTGCGCGGGGCGGGGCCGGGCGGGGGCGGGGCGGGGGGTATTTAAGCGGTTCTTTTTCTTTGCTTTTCTTTTTCTCTTTTCTTTTCCTTTTCTCTTTTCTGTTACTTTGTCCCCGTTCCTTCGTCCCCTCCCTTTCTCCCCCGCCCTACCTCCCACACCCTCTCCCCCCAAACTCCCCTCCTCCCTCTCCCTCCTACCCCCTCCTCCCTCCCTCCCCAACCCGCTCGTCCCCTGCGCCCCCTCCCTGCCCCGCAGGGGCAGCCCGACCCCCCCAGCCCTCCTTGCTGCCCCTCCATCCTCCGCCCCCCCTGGCCCCCCAGCCGGCCTGGACCCGCTCCCTCTCCGGCCCCTGCTGCCCACCCCGCCCCGCCCTGCCCTCCTCCTTCCCACCCTGCCCTCATTCCTGTCCCTCCGCCCTGCCCGGCCCCGCACGCCGCCTGCCCCCGGCCCCTGTCGCTGCCCTCCTGCACAGCCCGGACCCCCGGACCCCCCTGCCTGCCCCTGCTCCCCCCTCCCTGCTCCGCTGCACACCCCGAACGCCCTGTCCCCCGCTCCGTCCTTGTCCCCCGCCCGTCCCGTCCGTCCCCCTGTCCCCCGGGCCGTGTCCCCGCAGCCGCGGGGTTGGGGGCGCCGCTTTAATAAAGCCGCGAGGGCCGGAGCCGGCACCCCCCCCTGTATCCCACCCACGGGGCCGGGCCCGCTCGGCGGATCCCCCCCTGCAGTTCCCAAGCACCGCCCGACACCACCGGGGCTCCGGCCCGTCCCGACATCACAGGGGGGCTCCGCGGGCGGGGGGCAAAGGGGGCGGGTTCGCTCTCGGCAATGGACGCGACGGTGGGTGGAGATGTGCGGGTCTATTGCCGAGAGCGACCCCGCGGACGGGGGGGACTTGGGGAGGGGCCCCCTCCGGAGGAGGGTGTACGGGGAGGGGGGAGGGAGAAGGGAGGGGAGGGTGGGGGTAGGGGGGTTGGGGGAGTGGGAGGGAGGGGGGGGTGGGAGGGCTGTGTGCGGGAGGGGGCTGTGTGCGGGAGGGTGCGTGGAAGGGCCCGTGCTCTGTGTGTGTGTGTACACTTCTGTTTACGGTTCAGACTGATGTGACCCGGGAGGCCTCCACCCCCCCCATCCCACCCTCCGCCCCCCCCGCCCTCCCTCCACCCTCCCACAACCCCCCTACCCCCACCCCTCCTCCCTCCCCTCCAACCCTCCTACCTTCTCCCTCCCCCCTCCCCGGGGGACATGTGCAAAACAAATGCTGGGGACTGGAACACACACCTTGCACTCCTGCAGCTCTTACCATCACAGTCAAGAGAAAACAGCCAATTGTACCATCACTGCTCATTTCTTCATAACAATCCCACATTTCTTTGGCAGTTGGAGCACCACTTTTATCACCCAATTACAGCCCATTAGAGAGCTCCATGTCTAGCAGGGACAGGTACCCCTGGGATACTCTCAGCAATGCCTGAATCCATTGCAGGGACCTTGCTTTGAGCTCCCCAGGGCCGGGCACCCCGAGGATCTCCCCGAATAATCCTTTTGGTGCGCGCTGGAGTCCTCGGGGTGCCCCAGCCCGGGGGGCACCAACAGCACTGTCCCTCCAGGGGGCCCAGTTTGGTCCCAAACTGCAGGGGGATCTTGCCTGTGTCCCAGACTGGTCCAGGGATCTGAGGCCCTTCCCAAGAAAATCTCAGTGCCGGCGGGAAGGCCCAGAGATCCCTTGGAGCCACGGGAGAGCAGGCACAGAGTCCCTCCTGGGGGCCAATTCTGCTGCCTGAAATCGGCTCTTCAAAGAAGCCTCTAAGACTCAGCTGGTGAGTTTTAGAAGCCAGGTATTCCTATACACTCTAAGATATTTTAGGAGCTTACTGAATGAAAAAACATAAAGCTTTTATCATGGACATCTGACCTCCAACAGACAGCTCCTTTCCCCTTTCCGTACAAAATTTTTTTCATGGAATCATTTAACAGGAAGTGCCCAGGAACCCCAGACTGTGCTTTCCAAAACAAAACATAAACAGAGGGAAAGAGCTTTGCACAAGTGTAACACGCTCCAGAACAGACCTGACTTTAGTTCTGCTCTTTGTGTTCAAATGTAGCAGACAAAAGCTTCAGCAGGAGAGCTGGCACATTACCCATGGTACCCTGAAAGTCCATTTCACGAGGGCTGTAGGAAAATCACAGCTGTACGAGTCCCTTGTTCCTGTAGATGTCTGGGGATCCTTTCCATCCGCCTCGTGCTCTCCCAGCAGGAGAAAGGGTGACCTCAGGGACATGGTGGTACTCGACATCCTGCTAAGAGAGCAAGGAAACCTTTAGCATAAAGGTGGGTTGGAATCTAAAGCTTCCTTTCCTGGGAGCTTTGTGAAGTTTGCAAGCAAGAGGGAGAAAATTTGCATCTACTTTGGTGCAGGTGTCAACAGAGGCCAATAGAGCTCTTGCCTTTTTCAGACAACTGCACCCTTTTTGGCTCCCTGGCAGCTCCAATGGCACCAGAACCCCCTTCCTGCACACCCACGGGTGTCACACACAGGCACCCACACACCTTTGCTCCAGCCCACACGTGGCCAACATTTCCTCACCTTGGACATCCCAAGGGGAGTATTTTTGCTAGAGAGCACAGCAACCACCTTGTCCTTGCAAACTGCCTCCCTGCAAAAAAGGAACCAGTTCTCCTGGATATTTTTTCAACACTCCAGGTCTTTTGAAGCTGCTCTCGTGGCACCAAACCTGCTCGGGGTCTCTCCCAGCTGTTGGCTCTCCGCGGAGTTAACAGGCACACACTCCATTCCATCCTCCCCCAGCCAAACCCAGTTCTCACCGGCAGGACGGGCCCTGCCCTTACCTGTCCAAGCTCCCGGGCTCGGCACAGCCGTGGGTACAGAGCAGCTTCCCAAGGCAGCTCCCGCCCGGCAGGAAGCACAACTCGCCACACTCCACCAGCCGCTGGGCACTGACCTGAGCTGAGCCCCAGCGAGGGCACGACTGCACAGAAAAGGACCAAAAAGCATTAATGCAGCACCAAGAAACTAAGTGAGACTTATCTTTGCCTCCTAACCCTGCACAGGGAGAGGCTTTGGGATTCCGAGGCAAACCCTGAGACACCCAGAGAGCGACAGCCCCGCAGCCCTGCCACGGCTCCCCCCGGGGGCACCCAGCAGGTAACGGGCTTACCCGGCCCCCGCCGCCCAGCACAACGCGCCCCTAAACGCCCCCCAGCTCCCCCGGTCCATAAACCCAGCGGCCAAGGCGCTCTCCCCTCCGCAGCCCGGGCAGCAGCGGGGCCGCACCCTCAGCCCTCACACACAACCGCCCGCACCTGCCCCGCCGGCCTTTATAGACCGCGGGCCGGCAGCGTTGCCCAATCAGCACTCGAGCGCCTCCGCCCAATCGCAGCCCGCCGGTCCCTGCGGCCCCGCCCCGCCCCCTCAGCCCGGCCCCGCCCCTCGGCGCGGCCCCGCCCCCCGTTCCCTCAGCGCGGCTCCCGGTGTGTTTTGCACTCCCCTGTTTCTTTCTGGAATAATTTTAAAATTATTCCCCACCCCCGGACGGGGCCGGCCCGGGGGGTCCCCGTTTCTTTAGAAAGCAGAAAGTAATAATTCCTCCCCCAAAGAATCAAGGAAGGGGGATGATGAAACCAGATCTGCTTTCTTATTTATTATATCTAAATCCCCGTGAGTAAGTAACCTAGTCATATCCCGTATCACTTAATGGCTACGCAAAACTGTTCATGTTTTTCAAAGGAAATGAGGGCTGTGGATAACAACTGCACTGTGTTGGAGCAGACCAGACACTCCCTCTCTAACCAGAATTGGAAAAAAAAATGACACTCAGGTAGTGATTCGCTATTATGGAAAATACTGTATCGGCCCATTCTGGAAGGGAAGAATGAAAATCACAAGTGCCTGAGGTAATACTTGTTCTTAGGAAATGTATTCCCCGGTTTTGGTTTTGTCATTGTCTCCAGTCACAGACATTGTGAACTCGCTACTGAGTTTAACTCAAAAGTCAAGCAAGTGTGACCAGGCTCGCTCATTTCTGTTAATTAAAGCAAACTTTTAGTGCCTCTGGGAGACACTTGGGTATTTTTCTTGTCTGTGAAGAGGCCCTTCTGCAGGCTGGATGCAGAGAAAAAGTTTACATTTTTCACACCGTTTTCATGACAGTGACCAGGTCCAAAGCAGAGCCTGTTAATGCAGCAGAGATTAGAGCTGAATATTCACAGACACACACACAAAAAAAATCCCTACTGCTGCTATTTCAGCTGCAATGCTCTGCAACAGACACTCAAGTGCTGCTCCTCAGCAAGGAAAGGGGAAAAAACCCTCTCCTTAGGTGGGAGGATGAAGTTCTGTGGTGTAGGACTATTTACATGCTTGTAAGAAATACTTCCAAGTGATGCAAAATTTATTCATTTTCTGCAAAATAATTCTTTTTGTTATCCCAACCTTTTTTTTTCTGAATATTGTATTTTCTAATACAAAGAAGGAGACTGAAGAGAAACACCTCAGTTTGCAGAAAATAAACTTTAATGTGGTAAGCATTTACATTTTCATGGTTTTGTTGGTCTGAGGAACTGGCAATACAGCGCCTCAGGAAAATTAGGACCAAATTTATACGCTCTTGAGAAATTAATTAGCATTAGTTATCAAGGCTGTTAATCAAAACTGCTGGATTATTTCCCTGGATGAATAGCAACTTCCAGTTTGGATCTCAACTTCCTTTGCTTCGCTCTCAGCCAGTCACAGAGCAGGGACTGAACTGAATAGAAATAGAAATAGAAATAGCCTTAAAAGAGATGTAATGATCATTCACCACTATTTGGGGAGGTTTTTTATTTCCTCCCTGGCTTATTTCACAACAACATTCCTCTGTAAACAACCCTGGCTTTCTGTTTTCTCTGCTCCTCTGCTTTTCCAAGTGCAAAATTGATGTTGCAGAGCTTAAGTAATAAACATGGTTTAGAGGAATGAAATGTGCCGGGCTAATATACACACACAGCTTTATTGACATGTGAAATGCTTGTCTGAATGATTTCATACTGACATGGTATGATGAAAATTCACTACAAAAATAGGTATAAAGTCAAGTCAGAGGTTTTTAGCCGGAGAAAATAAACAAGAGTCTACAATTTACCCTTCCCCTAAAGTTAAACTAACTTCTGCCAACAATAACACAGCAGAGCTACATCAACAGAATTATATCAACACTTCTGCTGTTTCAATATGAAGTTCAAGCATCTGTTAACAACTTATTGCTTGTTGTTGTTGTTACTTGGCCAGATCTTTTCTCTGTATACAACCTATTCATGCCAGAGTTCACCCTCTTTTCAGTACTTATTTACTTTTCCCACACTCTGCTTCTAATTTTCTCTCTCAACCCCCAATAATTCGACGTTTCTTACAGGTCCTTTTGTCAGGGACAGTTTTCTCTTAGGACCCTTGGTTTCTTCACAAATGATTTCTTCACCAGAGTGCTTCTTTCTTGTGCTGGATGTTACAGCAACAGAGAGCTAATAGCTGACAAAAGAAACATGGAGAGATACATCCACAAAAGAAAACACAGAAACTGTCTTTTCTTTGCTGAAAACGGGCATTTTAGGTTGGGGTTTTGGTTGTTGGTTTTTTTTTCAAAAAAATGGGTGAGAGGCATTGAATAAGTATGCTGAGAAATTTTCTGGAAATCAGTTTATTCACTGTGGGAGTAAAAAAGCAAGCAAACAAAAAAAGTATTTTACAGCCCAGTTCTGGTAGTAGGGAGGGGTTTGTGGTTTTTTTTTTTTTTAATGCAAAATCTGCTCTTATCTTGAAGAAAAAAGGAGATGCTCCTAATTCCCTTGAGAGAGAACAGCAGCTATAACAAGAGAAGGCTACAATTGACTGGGCCTCAAAAGAGAGACAGTTTCTCAGCACTGAGACAGGATTAAATACATACACCCAGTCTGTGCCAGGAGGTTTGGCCCGACCTGTGTCTCAGAACTGTCAGGGATGAGAATTTTCAATTCTTCCTGGGTTATTTGCTATGGAACTGCGTGGTGAGTTAGAAAAGTTATCAAAGCTGCTTCTCTTAAAAACCCCGCAGCTCCTAAACGCTCCATTTTATGAACTCGGGCAACTGGAAGCCGCATCCCATCATGTTGTTTGGTCAGAAAACAAGAGTCTCCCCCCTCTCTCCAGCTGCAGGGATTTTGGGAGCACCCATGGGGCTTGCACTGTCATATCCATTTTTCCTTGTCACAGTGGAATGCCTCAAATATCGACCTCACCTCCACCGCATCCATTTTCCTTTTTCCTTCCCTTTACTAAAAGAAGAAACAAATACCCCCTTTGGCAATTCTGCTTCCCCCTTGACAGTCAGCCCAGCCAACCTAACGAGTGCCATTGAGCAGCTTGGAAAGAAACAGCAGCAGACCAGCAACATCCTTGACTTGATTCCAGTTTTTGCCTCTGAGGACACCTGTGGGCTATCTCTTCATCCTGCACATTACTTAAAGCAACTACACCATCGGGAAACAATCCTGAGCCAGAGAGTCTTTCCCCTCTCTGCTCTGTATAACCAGAGTTCCTGCAGAAGCACATCTTTTGCACCCTACAAACCTGGGAGCAGTGCTTTACCCTCATGCAACAGGACTGAACCAACCACGGTGATTTATTTTTTTTCGCTTGTCTTTCTTAGATTAAAGGCATGTCATTGGAAGTCATCCTGCTTACGTGCCACCGAGGCAGAGCCAGCAGCAGAGGAGGAGCAGGAGCAATCCCAGCATACCCTGATGGCTTTTGCTTAAAAAAGTTCGTGTGAGGATGTAGTTTAATCCAAACTACTCAGAAGTCCAAATCAAACCCTCCACTTTGTAATTCCTCACCTTTATACGTGCCCCATGTTTATAAGCAGCATTAGCCTCCAAAACATAACTAACAGAATTCCGTGCAAAGTTTTAATTAAAAACTAACACCTAATTCCTCGAAAAGGCTGAACTCAAGGTTTCATGATATAACAGCTCCACCTACCTGGCTTTTTAGGCATCACCATGCGAGCTGCAAAGTTTGCTTGCCAGCCCTGCTCTAGCACACCTGGGAAGGCATTTTTACATTTGTAAGAACAATTTTCTTATATGACCGTTAGAAATGCAAAATAAAGATGAACATTAAGGCCAGTAGAAAAGCATCTCGGCTCACTGCCTGTATGCCATAACTCCAAGACAGATTTCTTACTAAAATGCTTGTATTTAGATGTGCAGTTCAACAAACATCATGAACATCATGAAACACACGGGATTAGCTTCATATTTCACTCTTCCCCCACCGTGGAATTGCTTTAACATACAGAAGGGGAGAATAAACAATAACTAGTGGGAAATAATTTTAAAAGAACCAACCATGATCCAAAACAGAGACGTTATTTCCACATCCCATCACTGGTCTTTGTAACAGGCTCAGAATCTGTATACGTGCTTTTATTTGGAGCTTTTGCCCATCCCAAAATCCAGAGGGACCTCTGGCAGCTGCACTGCCCAAGAGCTGCCATGGGACTGCTGGGGAATGCACCACTGGAAGCAAGACAGAAATAAATTAATTCAGAGCACTACCTCGAAAGACTGAAGGAAAAAAACCCCTAACATTCCATTGCCTCCCTTTTTAAAGGGAACCGTGTGAGCTCCGTGTGAGCCGGGAGGCTCCGGGCTGTGGGAAAGCACCCGGAGGGATGGAGGGAGCACGATGCTCCTCTCCTCACTCCATCCCCAGCACAGCCCTCGGGATACTCGGCCCCACAGCTGGGGGATGGCCCTGGGGGTGCTTTGCTCCATCCCCATGGATCCTGCTGCCCATCCAGAGCCAGAACCACCTCTGGAGGGGTGATGGAATGCTGGGCATGGATGCTCGGCTGGAAGGTGACACATCCCCAGCAGTATCCAAATCCCTGCAGTTCCATGTTTGTTGCTGCCCAGCTCAGCTGATCCCCCTCTTCAGCATCCCTGGACATTGTCCTCCTTCTCTAATCACACCTTGGCAATGGCTCAGAATGGCAGCAGCTCCAGTGCCAGCTCAGTCCCTGCACGAGTCCTTGTCCCAGCCCTGCCACACACATGAGACATCCATGGACACACAGGCCTTGCTTGTACAATTCCTGACCCAAAGCCTTGCCTTTCCTGCCCAGAGCTGAGGGAAATCAGACAGAATATTAATAAACAACCTTCACTGAGAGCAGTCACCACCCCAGTCCCTCAGGCTTTGCAGGAGTTTTGTGGGGAACAGACCCAAATTCGAATCCTACATCTAAATTTCTAACAGGTTTTGTTAGAAAGAGCCTGGACAGTAACTCTTAGAACAGCATGCAGAGACTGCACAAGGAGTAACAGAAGGTTTGCCATGAAGAACAGAAGTTCCTTTTTTTCCCCATATTTTTTCAATAATTTCTCCTCTGTAGTAATTACTGACTTGAGTTTCTGCTGAAGGGCTGGACATGTCCACTGAGGGTTCAGGGGTCTGGCAGGTTGTTTATGACTGATCTTGACTGGCCCAGACCAAACCCAACCACCCCAATCACTGCTTCATCCCAAATTTGGGTCAAATATTGATATAATTTATAAATCCTCCCCTTCCCTACTACTCAGTCCTTCCTTACACATCCATGGAATAGATTTACTTCATCTTTTGTTCCCAACAACAGCTCTCTAGCCAAAATCCCAGCTCTCACAGACACAAACTAAACACACCTAAGGCAATGGTTCCATCAGCACCTGGGGGTTGGGTTGGAGGAACACAACCTTACCAAGTTACGAGCCAGGGGATGGCATTTGGGAACAGCTCCTGTTGACTGGAAAGGATTCAGGCCCCAGGGCTCAGTCTGCAACTGGCAGTCGATCTCAGCCATCACCAACCACCTCAGCCATTCCCTCTGAAACACCACCTCTCTCCCCCTCTACATCACCTCCCACTTTCCTACATAAAACAGTGGTCATGTCCACTCTGAATTACCCCAGGTTTTCAGCTAAAAGGGTCACCTCTGTCCCCTCTAAGGAACCCCAGGTTTTCTGTCCAAAATGCTGCCTCAGTCCTTCTCTCAGAAAGGCTCCTTTTTAATCTCTAAGGTACCCCCGGATTCACCCCACAAAAAAGGTGATTTTGTTTCATCCAAATTACCTCAGCATTTCTATGGAAAATGTCACCTCTGCTCCCCCTCCCAATTTGCCTCTGCTTTTCCCTCACAAACGTCCCTTCTGTCCCCTGCACAGGAACTCAGGTTTGACCCCCAAACCTCCCCTGCCCAGCTCAGGTTTTACCTCAGAATTGTCCCTTCCTGTCCCGCTGAGAGAACCTCGATTTCCCCCCCAGAATGTCCCTCACTAATTGCCTCGGTTTTACCTCAGAATGTTCATTTTACCCCCCCCAGGAGAGACAGGAGACCACAAGTCCCGGGTGCCCTGGGAACACCCCCGGCCCCAGCCCGGCCCGGCTGCTCCTTCCCCGCTCGGTGTCACCGCCCTGGGGTGACAGGGAGGGGACAGGAACAACCCCCGACACACCGAGCTGCCCCTGCTGCTGCACAGCGAGTGCCTGCCTCACATTTTCCAGCCCTTCAGTGTTTAACTTATTCATACAAAAGTTTTATTTGAATTTTCAAACCCTATGGATCCACATTTGGAATTTATTATATCCTAAAATCCCACATATAACATAACAGATACGAGGCTTTGTTTTGAAATCAGCTTTTATATGAATATTACTTGTCAATAGATTTAAAAGTAACAAATTTAAAAGGGTTTAGTATTTTACAGAGACACACAACCCCTCCCTATGAATTTTTAGGCATTTTTGGGCTGTCCCCTCCCTTTTTGGGGGAACCCACCTGATCCCCTTGATTCCCCACTCATTTTCTCCACCGCAACACCACCCTCCCAGTGTGTCCCAGTGACCCCGGAGTGCCCCAAATGACATTATCAGAGATGATGACACAGAGCCCCCTCACCCTGCACACGTGTCCCCAGGGATGGGACGTGGCCGGGACATCCTCACTGCGACGTCCCCAGGGCGCCGGTGCCGACATCATCACAGTCCATGTGCCTCGGGGGCTGTCCCGGGGGGTCCCTTGTGGCTCTGGGGGGACTTGGAGGGGGGCAGCTCCCACCTTGGGGACAGCAAAGGCAGGTGCCTCAGGGGGACAGCTCCGTGTCCCCCCTCCAGACCCCACCTGGGGTGTTTCTGTGTTTCTGCAGCCCCCGTGGATCTGGTGCTGGATCCCAGCTCGCCACCGCAGCCAAACCCCCCATGGAGTGGCTCTGCAGGGGGGACAGGGCAGCTGTGGTCTCTCTTACCTGTGGGTGGGACACAGATCCAGCCCCTCCATGCCACTCCCTTGGAGATGTCCCCAGTGCTGGGAGCAGGGGACTCCTCTGGCACGGCCGTGGCATCGTCGTAGCCATCCAGGGTTCCAGCCATGGCATTGTTGTAGCCATCTGAGGTTCCAGCCACGGCATCATCGTAGCCATCCAGGGTTCCAGCTGTGGCATCATCGTAGCCATCTGGGGTTCTGTGCCCGGGCAGGGCAGGGGGGGCTGGGACTGGCACGGGGGTACATGGCACTGACCCAGTGGTCATGGCAGGGACTGGCTGTGCCATCCCCCTCCAGCTGTGCCATCCCCCTCCAGCTGTGCCATCCTCCTCCGGCTGTGCCATCCCCCTCTGGCCATGCCACCAGGGATGTGTTGGTGGCCCTTGCTTCCTCAGGGAAAGGTGATGCTTCTCTGCCCACTAACGAGGGGGGACGTGTCCCCTCAGCTCCCCAGCCCTGCCGTGTCCCCTGTCCCCAGCGCTCCCCGCTGGGTTCCTGCCCTGTGCCCCTACCTGGGGCTGCCCCGGTGTCACTCCCCTCCACGCTGTCCCCGGTGTAATTCACCGAGCCCTCCCGCGGGGAACCTGCAGGGGGAAAACAGAGTGCTGGGGGTGGCCAGAGGTGGCACCGCGGGTGACACAACCTCAGCCACAGAGCAGGGCTGTGATGGCACCCAGGGACCCCCCCACACCACGGGGAGGAGCCAGTGCTGTGCCACCAGGACCCGCTGCCGCGGTGGGACTGTGGGGCAGAGCCCCCCTGTCCGGGCAGAGCTGGGGCACGGGGGCTGCACCGACCTGGGCGACTGGGCACCTCCTGGTACTCCGGCATCGCGCTGTAGTCCAGCTCCTCGTAGATGGCGTCGGGGACGGCACCCACGGCTCTGCCGGCGCCTGCAACAAGAGGCAGCGCTCTCCCAGGGCCGTGGGCACCGTGGGTGGCACCGGGGTGACCCACTGCCCACCCTCCGAGCCGTTCCACACGGGGGGAGCCCCTGAACCCCCAAAGCGGCTCTGCCCCGGCACCCACCCGCCGGGACCCACCTCGGCGCCAAGCGCGGGCACGGCACAGCAGCACGGCCAGGGCGCCCAGGGCCAGGCACAGCAGCGTCCCCAGGACCACGCACAGGACCACTGACACCGGCACAGTGCCCCTGGCCACCTGCCCGCTTGGCACCGGCACAGTCCCCCTGGCCACCGCAGGGCCGCTGCTGCTGGGGACAGCTGTGGGGACACGGCCGGGCAGTGAGGGCAGGGGGATCCCAGCCGGCCCGGCGGGGGGGAGCTGGCACGGCCAGAGCTACCTGTGCAGGTGGCCCCGTCTGGGCACGGGGTGGTGGCTGTCTCGCTGGGGTTGTCACTGTCCTCCACACAAGCCACGTAGGCGTCCCCTCCGGGGCCGCAGGCCTGCAGGTGCCAGGGTGCCGAGGGGCACCCCCAGAGCGAGCGGGCCCCCTCCTCGCAGCCCACCCAGGCCAGCCAGGCGGGGGCCGGCTGCTGGGCGGGGGCGGGTGCCAGCTGCCCCCCGTCCCCACAGCCCAGCTGCCGGCAGACGGCGGCGGCGGTGCCGGGGCTGGTGCCGGTGGCGCACACGCGGCCCCAGGTGCCGTCGTGGAGCAGCTCCAGGTACCCGCTGCAGCGCCCGCGCCCGCCCGCCAGCCGCAGGGAGAGCTGCTCTGCGAGGGGTGCGGGGGGGGTCACGGCACGGCCGGGAACCCCCCGGGGGGCTCTGCTGCTCCCCGCCCCGGGGACACCCGACACTGACCTGAGCACACGGCCCCGGCCCCGCGCTCGCACTCGCGCCCTTCCGAGCGTGGGCATTCCCAGAGAGACTCCTCGCTCCCGGCGCACTCAACCGCGTACGGCCACGCTGTGCCCGGCCCGGGGCCGAAGCGCGCCGAGCCGGGGGCCTCCAGCGCCGCGCCACAGCCCAGCTCCCGGCACACAACGGCGGCGGCCCGCAGGTCCCAGCGCTCCTGGCACACGCTGCTCCAGGTGCCACCGGCATAGACCTCCACGCGCCCGGCGCAGCGCCCGGCACCGCCCGCCAGCCTCACCCGCCGGCTGCCTGCGGGCACGGAAGGACCGGGCTGGGGGCTGCTCGGGGCACCAGCACCCCGGCCCTTCTCGGGACACCCACCTGAGCAGACGATGGCTGCCCCATGAGGGGTGCCGGTTGGCCCGGTGGTCATGTCCCAGACTATTAAGTCGTTCAGCCAGACAGGCATCTCCTGGTTGGTCATCTTCCAGACAGTCCGGACCACTTCTATTGTAATTTTCTGCTCCGAATCGCTCATGTTCCACACGGGGACCGTACCAACGACAGTATCGCTCCTGTCCAGCCCACCACAGCCCAGCTTCCCACACACCACACTGAAATTCCCTTCAGCCAAAACCTCTCCTGGCACACGGCGCCAGACCCCAGGGCTTATGGCCAACTCCAGCCACCCGTCGCACCGGCTCTCACCCTCCACCAGCCGCAGGGAACTGACGATGCCTGTAAAATGACCTGGCTCAGCCCTCCCCTCACCCCAAAACAGCCCTGAGTGCTCCACTCCCAATCCTTGGGGTGTCCCGAAAGCCCTTGGAGGCTCTTCCCACGGGTGCCACACAGACCTGAGCAGTTGACGGCGGCGGCGTTCCCCGGGCTGCAGGGGGGCTCCCCCAGCACAGCCACAGGGCACTCGCCCGGGTGCCGCTCGCTCCCGCTGCAGCCGAAGGCGTCCGGCCTCAGCGGCCCGTCCCCGCTGCCGAAGGAGCCTCCCGGGGGCACGGTGACGGCGTGGCCACAGCCCAGGTGGCGGCACAGGACGTCGGCATCGGGCAGGTCCCAGTCGGTGGCACAGACGGACCCCCACGTGCCCCTCACCGCCACCTCCACCCGCCCGGCACAGCCCGAGCTGCTGTTCCCCAGCCGGAAGCCCGTGTAGGCTGTGGCACAAAGGGCGTTCAGGGGGGTGATGGGGGCGGACCCCCAACCCCCCCCCCGCTGTCCCCGGTGCTTACGGGAGCAGATGATGGTGGCGTGGCCAGCGCAGCCCTGGCTGTGGGGCCCCCGCCGGGCGCAGGCGCTGAGGAGGGGCTCGGTGCCGCTGCAGTTGAACCCCCCCTCCCACAGCGGCCCCGTTCCCGCCCCAAACCGGCCGCTGCCGGGGATGGCCAGCGCCGCGCCGCAGCCCAGCTCCCGGCACACCACCTGGGCCACCTTCATGTCCACGTGCTCCGCGCAGACGCCAACCCAGGCCTGGCGCTGCCGCACCTCCAACCGCCCGGCACAGGCTCTGTCACCCCCGACCAGCCGGGAAAACCCTGCGAGAGTGGTGCAGAGTTGGCACTGAGGGATCTGCTGGGAGTGCTGCGTCCCTCCCAGCCTGGTTCCTACCTTGGCAGACAACAGCGGTGTCATAGTCGTGGGTGGAACTGTAAGGTCCCCAGCCACGGATCTCGCAGTCCCAGAGTGTGGCCTCATCCCCCTTGCAGTCCACTACGGCCAGGTTGATGGGCCCGGTCCCTGGGCCAAAGCGGTTGCGGGCGGCGTAGGCGCCGGCAGCTGAGCCACATCCCAGCTGCTGGCACACCACCTCAGCGTCCTCCATGTCCCAGTTGTCATCTCCCACCGAGCCCCAGTGTCCCCACAGCTTCGCCTCCACCCTCCCGGCACAGGGACCGCCACCAGCCACCAGCCTCAGCTCCACGGCCTCTGCACCGGGACACCAGCACAGCTCAGCCCTGCCTGGCACACCCCAGCACGAGGTGGGTGTCCCGGCACGGCCAGCCTGTCCCACTCACCTGTGCAGATCACCCCCACGTCCCGCTCGTGGCCGCAGTAGTGCTGGCCCCATCCGAAGTGCGGACACTCCTCCAGCACCTCCTCGGTGCCAAGGCAGAAGAAGGGCTGGAGCCAGATCCGGCCGCTGCCCTGCCCGAACAGGGCGTACGGGGACAACGAGACCACGCGGCCACAGCCCAGCTGCCGGCACACCACGGTGGCCCAGCGGGCTTCCCAGTCGAACTCGAAGATGCAGACGGAGCCCCACTCACCGTCGTGATTCACCTCCACGCGTCCGGCACAGCGCCCGCCGCCCCCCACCAGCCGCAGCTGCCCGGAGCCTGCGGCACGGAGGGACCTGAGCCGGGCCCGGCACCGGCGGGTCCCCGCTCCCACCACCCCGCCACTCACCCCCACACAGCTGCAGGCACAGCAGCAGCCCCAGCGCCCCGACCGGCCCCATCCCCGACAGGTCCCGCACCCCCAGCGCAGCCAGGGGATGATGTAGCGGCAGCGCCGGAGCCGGTGCAGGCGGCAGCACCAGGGGAGCCTTTATCAGCCGAGGCATCGCCCAGCTGCGGGGCCACGGCCTCCAATAACCTGCTTCGTGCCCAAATATGAGGCTCGGCTCTGCTTCTGGCGTCACACGCCTCGCCACAGTGGGCCGGCACACGGATGCCCCCGGGGAGAGCCGCCCCCCCCCCAGCACCTGGGCCGAGGGGGCCCCTCCTGTACCCCCCCGTGGGTCCAACTCTGCCGCTGGAGCCCGGCAAGAGCCATCCCCGCGCTGACAGGATTCAGCCCCAATCCCGCCGGAGCCTCCACGGGACCGCCCCGAGGAGCGGCTCGAGGCAGAGCCCCGGGGCCCCCTCCCCGGGTGCCCCCTCCCCGGGCGGTGGGAGCAGCCCCCGGCTCCCCGCGGGGGCGGCGGGTCCCGGTGCCTCGCGCGGGCGGTGGCACATGGCGGGGCTGCCGCAGCTGTGCCCCCGCGCTCGCCTCGCCGCCGGGGCAGGAAGGAGGCGGTCACCGCCCGCCGGGGACGCGCCCGAGGCACCGACCGCACGCGGCTCCTGCCACCTGCGCCGGCACCGATAACGCCGGCACCGATAACGCCGGCACCGATAACG